GGGTTTTGGCTAAAGGATTGCGGGTTTTGGCTAAAGCTTGATGGGAAAAGGTGTAGTGCTCAGGTCTGCTAGATGTTTAATCTGGTGACTATAAAAATCCTTTGTTTTCTAATGAGAATTATCGAGCCCATCAGCTGCTTCAAACTTTCACTTAAAGGATCTGCTTCCGAAGAAAATATTCCCTCCAAAGACTGCTGCAAATGTGATTGCATTTTCCTCAAATTCTAAAGCAGATAGCATTGTTTAATATCCTCTTGCAACCCCAATCTGGTAAGTATGATGATGACTGGACGTTGGTGAAGCTGAGTTGGTAGATTTTGAGTTAAACAACATGGAAGGCAGTGTCCACAAATGGATTCAAATTCCCTGGAGGATGCTGATATTTCCATAATTTAATTCAGTACAATTTATCATCTTTTAGACTCAAAAAAGATATGGTAGAAATATTACCCCAAGGACATCAGATATTCGAAGTTGTTGAGGCTAATCCGTTGGTGATTATCAGAGTGGTTTCCGTGAAATACAACAAAACAGTTGTAAACAAAAAATGAATGCTGATAATCAAGATGATATTAACAAGGATGACCACTTATTGGAATTTGGGTAAAATAATTATTTTCCGCTCCAGCTTGGAGCGTGTTTTATTGATAGGGTTTATAAAACTTCTCTCCTATCCTGTGTATCCATGCCTATCCGATACTGTCTTTCCATTCTTTCTCTGTTGACAAGTCGGAGGTCACAACAGTGAAACCATTAGAACATGGGCCTCAAACCACTGCAGAAAAAGATTTTCGCACGACTCCGAACCAAATCCAAAAACGCTGCAGCATTGTTGGAGCAGGATATTGTGGACTTCGCAAGCAATGAAGCAAAATATCTCGATTTTCTAGAAAAAGCCGATTTGTGGTATCGAAATCATGAGAGAAAGTATATGCGATTTATGGGTTTTATAGGCTCCGACATGCTAACTATGGAAGAGTTCCGGATAGGGATGCAAACCCTTCGAGCCCCGTTCACTGTTCTGGAAATCTGCGTCCTGTTCCGTCTGCTGGATCCCAAGAAAACTGGTTACGCGGATTTCAGTAAACTCAACGAGTGTATCTGGAATGCAATCACAGACAAATGGATGACAGAATTTGAGTTAAATAAGATTACCATGAAAGTAGAAAATAAATGGATACATTTGACCTTCAAGGTGCCTAGTTTGGAACCGTTTGACACAACATTAACTTTTGACGAACTAGTCACGGTGGATTACAGCGGAGCGATGCTTAAACAATTGGTTCTTCTTCGCCGAACCCCTCTACCATCAAGATCTGTTGTCCTATTCACCAATCCGTCCCAGTTTATCAAAACAATCATTCGAAGTCAACAAAAACTATCCGATTTTCACTACAAAGGTGGTCCAAAACATGCACCCAAAGAAGGCGTTGTGTACTATGAATTCTCTGTTGGTCAACTTGATTGTCCTCTTCTAACTGCTCCAATCGCATTGAATCCCGCGGATGACGACGAGGGTAACATTATCGAGATTTGGAGTAATTTACTGATCTAAGCGGCTTCGAATGAACCAATGGAATTGTAAAAAACATTCCCTTAATACTGCGCGTTTGCTAAATTCCACATGCACGGTATGAAACATGTGACAAGCGCAGTACGCTTTCCATGTGCAACAACTTGGAAAACGTGTACATCCAAAAAAATAAAAGTAAAAAAATTACTTGGTGAAAATCGTGTTCTACAAACGTTTTTTTACCAGGACAAATGAGTGACGTGATTCAGTTTCTTGAACCAGGTAAATTGTCATAGGTTAGGATGTCAACATGTATCGAGAAATCGAGTCTTGCCTTTTCAGCCTTTAATTAACATGAAGTAAGATCATTCATGGAAACGGCCACCTTCAACCTGCGAACACAAATTGTCTTATGTTCGAATGGTTTACATTTCATATTAGAAATATCACCATATCTAGTTCTTTCCCACCGGGATTCATTATAGAATAAGTGGAATCCATCATTTATCGTTTAACAGCAGTGATAAACATTTGCATGAACTGGAAGAAGGTGCTGTCGAATTTTAGAACGGCTAAAGCAATCCAATAAAGACTGAAAGCAAACAAAATGAAATACGGGATTGGGGGTTGCATTGTTGGATCCAAACACGTAGCCAACTTAGGCGGTATGATTCTGATAACTACGCACTGTTCACGTCATGAAGCTGAAAGTAAAGAACTATTTGTGAAAGGTTAATTATTAAATGAACTGTTTATTATTTGTCGCAAAATATATCCCTAGCATTAGGGTGGGTGTAACATTTTAAGTATGGTGCCTAGAACAATAACAGTCACAGTTTGGGAACAGTCTATTTGGTGTAGAGCAGCCCAATTATACCTAGTAGATTCATAGTCCACACAGCTAATAGATGGGAAAAATTCAAACAAGCAAGGTTTGATATCCAGTTTGGTAAATTGCCTCAAAGTATGATATTGGTCCACCAAGTAGTTGCATGTATCGATGTGTATGATCAAGGGGTTTTCATGAATATTTCACTGAAAAATACGGTAAAGCGCATCTTCCGCGATCGGACTGAGTGTTGTATTCAAACAATTCTATGATTACTTCTAGTCACCTAACCCTCACATGAACGCTTTGCTGGATGCCTACAATTTTTTTGCTGTAAAATAAATAGAAATAAGGTCACAGATAGTGTACGCCACCTTTCAACTCCAAGAAATGTGACTTTACCGACAGCATAATGCATGATCTCCCGGCTGCAGGGTCAACCTAACAATTGCGACTGTGCATCACTCTCGTGTAAAACTGGTTCATGATACTTTGGTATGCTCTGAATAAGACCACAGATCCCATCAATGTTGTTTTCATTTGGGGGAAACAGCTCTGTAAAATTCTTCCTAGTGGTTCTTTCTCGTAGACTGAGATTGGCCTTTCAAATAGCACCAAACCATTGTGAAAACTTCCAGACGAATGCGGCAGCATTTCTGTGTGTAGGGAATGGACTGCATGAAAGCTTCGCTCCTCACTGTCACAGTGTCAGCGTGTACTAAAAATAAATGTGTACTACGGTTTGGGTATGAGCTATTGTAGAATACAGCACAGCTTTAGTCGGCTGTGCGCACACCTGGGGTTGGGAAAATCGTTGTGAATTCCATCCCGGTTTGCAGGGGATTTGTCATACCCCTAAGTGAAAAGTGCGAGCGCCATTGTTTGAAATAACAACGGGAAACTCATGTACTCGACACTGTCAAACGTTCTTTTAGAATGACAAATTGCAAGGCAATAATTGTATGACTTGTAGCATCTATATACTAATCATATTCAAAGAGTATGGCGCAAGCGAAGCTTTTGGCTACTGCCACCCTTCCAAAAATGCACGCAGTTAGTGATAGGCTATAGAGAGCATTTGCAGCATTGTGTGCAATCCTTCCCAAGTAGCATTTGTTAGGATTAGTATGGATGGAGTAACTACAGACAATCGTTTGCAAACAACTAAGCCGCTTCTTTATTCATTAGTGTCATGCACGTTCGACCACTAAAACATGAGCATCAACCATTTATAAATTTACCGTCCTTCAGATTTAATTTTATTTAGAACTCAATACGAGAATCTGTTGGGTTGGGTGTTTAACTAGTGCATGGTTGACCAAAATGAATTGATTAATTTCAAGGGATGTTACTCACCCCACGGCACAACTCACAAACAACTACGAGTCTCATGGCAAAATGTAAGCTGCTTTCTGGCGGCAAAAATTCTCATTTCGAAAATTAGGTCCTTATATATTAGTTATTTAAGCAGTATAGTATTGACCAATTCATCCCCTCAGTATAAATACAGATGCATCAGGAATTCTCGTACACCAAATGTTCGGATTCTCAAACAGCCCAAGTCAATTTCTCAGTTTCGTAACTACAGGTAAAACCAGCGGATAAAATTACAATTCATTAGTGTAAATTTCTGTGTAGTCTGATTCAAGTTCTGGTGTAGTATTGGTTGACTATGTCAACCACATCAATTTAACATCTCACTGCTATCTGCGCTACGGTCAACGCATGGATGCACACACGCGCACCGACCGGAGGAAGACTGTAAACGTATGCCCTTGTGCACCAGAACTAGGTTCAAGCTACGCAGAACTCTGTGCTAACGATATGTACTTCTTAACTGCTAGTAGTTAAATACTGCAGTAGTTAGATTGAGGATTTGACTTTGGTCGTTTGAGAATATGACTATTTGGTGCGCGAGAACTCATGGCGCACCTGTTTATTTCTATGACATCTTCCTGTTTTTCCTCACAAAACAGTTACGCGTAGATCAATCACACGTGTCTGAAAAAATGAAATCAAAGTTTACTTAACAGCGTTTGTTATTTGTATCTCTTTTCACTTTCCACTATCATCATTTTACTATCCAAATCTGTCACGGTACTTTTTTCATTTGAATCGGTTTCGATCGTAGTGCAACTGAGGAGAGAGCAGGCTAACTTATCGTGAATTAATTTGAAATCTGAAGCTGTCTAAGGGAATGAAATTGGTCTATGGTTCACCGTATCGAGTTACACATTCTGTCATTTTAAATAAAGCGCAATCATCAGTTGTCAGTGAATTATCTGGGATGACAAAAAGAAAACTGAAAACTGTCTGGTTCTTGTTAGAGCTTATCAGTAGTGTGTACGTTTTGTAACTCAGTAAAAACTCAAACTGCAATCTTTCAACTTCGGAGCTTAAACCTGTACACTTTAGCTACACAGTCGACGATTAACACGTTGAGAGAATGTCTACCTCAATTTTTGACATGTGCTTGGGTTAACTCATTCATTTTGTACGGACACCAAGCACTGCTTATCATTTTGAGTGTCCATTTCACTTGATCTTAATTCGTTACTTCCCCATATGAGAAGTTCATTTTATTCGCGAAAGAGTGAAGCTCACACTGAGAACCATAAACTATTCATGATGTCTGGGAATATTGAAAAGGGTCTTCCAACCCTACTATTTTTATAAGTTTAATTCAAAATAAGTTTTTCAAGGATAGTACACTTAGATCAGCAGATGACGGTTAATCAATGTTCAGTTTGTGCGCATTGACTTATGACAGTACAGTTCCACGAAAATATACAAAGACAGATAACTTGTAACTGGTTTAAGGATAAATAGAAAGTGCATATTTCATATTTTGCGGATGTGAAAATATCTTTCTTCGAGAACCCAATACAATGCAATATGCAGCGCTTGATAATTTTGATTGTCGACGTGATTTTCCAATAGTTCGTATGATGCACAGCAATTTGTAAAAATCTCGTTCATAATATTGAAATTCAAATTATTTACACTAATAAGCTTACTATTTATTTTACTGTTACTAAATTTCGTTGCAGATGAGGGGACTAGTGAAATGCAACCACCGGTGCCTCCTGCAGAACGATCCAAAAGTGAAAAGATTCTTGCTCGGCTTGACAAGTTGACGAAACGCGATGACAAATTCCTAGATCGGTGCATCGAGGATAGGATATCCAGTTGGGAAGATTATGAGCGATTTGTTTACATGATGGAAAAATGGTACAACAAAAACTCCAAACGTTATATGCTCTATATGTCCCAATATGGACGGGACATTATTTCCGAATTGGAATTCAAACTGGTTATGCGTGATCTACAAGCTTCACTAAGTGATGTGGAAATACACATTTTGTATACCTGGTTGGATCCGGAACGTACCGGTCAAGTGGAATATGCAAAACTGTTTGAATCTTTGTACAAGGCTTTGTACAATCGATTTGTGGATGATGATGAGTATCATGAAATGAATTTGGAATATCAGAAAAAGTGGGTTAAAATGACCTTCAAGTCACCCACCTGTGACCAGATGGACTTGCCCACCACATTTGAGGCGCTCATTCATTTGGGATACACCGGAACGATGCTCACCGACTTGATCATCAACCGTGTCCGGGCATTGCCTAGTCGTAATTTGGTCATTTTCACAGATCCGGCACGATATGCAGAAACTTTAGTTCATTGTAACCAGAAATTGTACGATTTTCCTTATCAAGGCGGTCCAAAGTGTGCCCCGAAAGAGGGCACCATCTACTATGAGTTTTCTTTGGGTCACATTGATTGTCCCTTGCTGATGTCATTAAGTTCCGGACCCCAAGAATATGTCAAAGAATTGGAACACCTGGGTCCGATAGATGCAACCACTGCAGTGCCTAACAACCCGAGCTCCAGTAGTTGAACATGGCTGCTGGAGAGAACTTGCTATCGGAAACGCATACGACTCCCGTTTCACGGATTGACGTATGAGAACTCGTTCTGTTCGTTCTTATTCTTCACAAATTGTGTCTGTCTTCATATAACCCCATGGCAAACTCATTTGCTACATGATGGGATTCCAGAGAAGATGCAATAAAAGCAGACAACAATAAATGAGGATTTTAGTTCTGCTCTTTTAGAAATTCTCGTAGATTCCGTTATTCTTCTTTCTCTCTCATATATATATATATATATAAACAAAGCACCTACACAAAGTTGGCAGAAAATCGAAGAATAACGATAACTGAACGCGATTCTCATCAAAGCTCATGAATACGATGTGCAGAAATAGGAATATTTCTCTGAATGGTCAAGAAGAGCCACATCTGCAGGGGAAGGTTTACACGTGCATCGATAAAACGTGACCCTCCCGACAAGGGACGATTCCGCGGTTGAGCCTAAGTAGGTAAGGTGAACCTGGTACTACAATAGCGTCTTTTGAGTCATAGTGGACTCATGGACAAATGGTGAAAACACAGTGTTACTACCAACGTTTCGAAATCTCTGATTATTTGTTTTTTTTTCATTGATTGTATTTGTAGGCCTGCAAGTGAAAGTTCTCGTCGCCCAATTTTTTATTACATTGTAGGAGTGTATTCTTCGATAAGTCATACGGGTTGTTGGCTGGGTCATCACAAAAATGTTTCCTTGATTCTCATATACCTCAAGGTATTGATGCTAGACATTTGTGGTGGCACCTAGCGGATTCACAGAAAATATCCAACAGAAAACACATATCTCTAGCATACAGC